AGAGAGAGAGAGAGAGAGAGAATGAGAGAGAGAGCGTTCCTGCTTGGCAAGTACAAGAGTCTGAATCCAACTCCTAGGGACCCCCCCCCCGCCAAGAAAAGCAGCCATTTATTACCTTAAATCTCTCCATAGGTGGGGTCTTGGCTGTTATATAGCCCCAGAGAGGTTGCCACAGAGGTTGGTTAGCACCTGCTGGCCATCAGCATTGCTACCAGGGGCCAGGGACATACAGCAGGGGACAGTGAGGCTGTTGATGTGACTGTGCACACAATGACCACCTCCCCCCCCCATGTGTTTTGTGTTGTAGGGGATTTCGCAGGCTGCCAAGTACATTTACAGACGGCTTGTCCACGATGGGATTCTGAGCCAGGCATTCAGCGTTGCTCCTGTGAGATGAGACTTCTTATTCTCTTCTCCTGTTTCATTTGTCATTCATTCCTCGTAGCCTTTTCTCTCAGTATGGCCTTTGTCCTCTAGGAATACCGGCTGGTTGTCGTGGGGCACAGCCTGGGGGCGGGGGCTGCTGCCCTACTGGCCATCATGCTGAGGGGTTCCTATCCCCAAGTCCGGGCCTATGCCTTCTCACCACCCAGAGGGCTACTGAGGTAAGATTCCCCAAGCCTCCTGCGGTAACAGCCTGTTCACAGCCAACATGGCAGCTTACCTGCATTGTGTAGTTCTACTCCACTCCCACCTCCAGGAAGAAGGGATTGGGAAGTGCTGTTTAGTTGAAGAAAGATTGTGGGGCTGGGAGGCTGGTAGCTCACGCCTGTAATACTGTCTTCTTCCCCGGAAGCTGAGATCTGAGAATGGTGGTTTGAAGCCAGCCTGGGCAGGAAAGTCCATGAGACTTTGTTCTGGTCATAGAGCCTGAATTCTGGGCCTGGGTGCTGTCGCTCAGCTCTTCAGCTCAAGGATAGTCTCCTACCACTTGAGCTACAGCACCACTTCTGGATTTTTCTGCTTATGTGGTGCTGAGGAATCGAACCCAAGGCCTCATGCATGCAAGGCAAGCGCTCTACTACTCAGCCACCTTCCCAGCCCCCCATGAGACTCTTAGCACCAATAAACCACCAAAAGAGCTGGAGTGGAGCTGGAGTGGTAGAGTGCTAGCCTTGAGCAAATAAATAAATAAATAAGCTCAGCAACAGCACAAAGACTTTATTTTGGAGAGTTTCACAGCAGAACTACTGAGCAGAAGATAGAGAATGTTCACCAATACCGCCCCCCATATACATTCCTACACACACATATGCATGCGTGCCTAGCCTCCACCCCCACCAATGCCCCTAACTAGAAGCGGGCATTTGTGGTCACCAATAGATATACGTCACTATTTGGGTTTGGAGTGCTGTAAAATGACGTTATGAGTTTAAAAGCATATTTGTCTTTATTCACTCGCTGTACTGACCAGATGGTTCTGTGTAACTTTGTCTTGATCATAAATAAGTTTGTACCATAATGTCAATGAATGAAAAAGTGACACTGTGTCTCAAAGTGGTAGAGCACTAGCCTTGAGCAAAAGAGCTCAGGGACAGTGCCCAGAACCTGAGTTCAAGCCCTACGACTGACAAAAAATAAAAAAGAAACCACAAATGAAAGATGGGAGGTCGGGGTGGGGTGGGGAGAGACTATACCCATCACAGAAAATATGGGAAATACAGAAAAGCAAAGAGGTCCAAAATCTTAGGTGGTGCTAGGGTTTGAAACCAGGGCCTAGTGCATGCTAGGCAAGGGCTCCACTACTGAGCCACACTCCTGGTCCCCAAAAACTTTCAGCTTCTTTAGAAACACCCAAACAGGGGGCTGGGAAGGTGGCTCAGTGGTAGAGTACTTGCCTTGCATGCTCGAGGCCCTGGGTTCGATTCCTCAGCACCACATAAGAAAAAAGCTAGAAGTGGCGCTGTGGCTCAAGTGGTAGAGCACTAGCCTTGAGCTGAAGAGCTGAGGGACAGCGCCCAGTCCCAGAGTTCAG